ACAGTTTAATAAGTCATATTTTTACAGTCTTTTGGCACATTTCGAAATGAACGTTGTAAATACAGCTCGCACAACAGTGACTGTCCCCATCCCTCCTGTTTCATCAGTGTACATTTGGGATCCTTTAGTTTCCTTTATAATACTTAAGCTGCCGCACTGGCGGCATGGACAGAATGTGTGTGAGGTTGTTTCGATGGATACCTTAGGTTGTACACTTCCAGTGAGACCAAGTTGGGTAGTTGTGTACTATGGGCGGTTTCAATATACTTTTCAAAATAATGACTTTTGTGCAGGTTGTGCATGCAATGAGGCAGCAGACTGTATTTGACCTGCAGACCTTAGGACTGACTCCTGTCATTTTATGTCAGTTTGAACCTCCCAACTTGGAAGGAATCTGTGGCCAGACACCAAAAATCACCCTAAGAGCAGAAAGTTAAGAGTCTTGGTCAAGAGTCCAACAGTCGCAAATCTGTGATTTAAGCTCACAGCCATCTGGTCACGAGAACAGAACTATAATCACTGCGTGGTCACTGCCACAGGTTGTAGTTTGTTTGTAGCTGTAGCTGATGATAGATCTAAAGTTTCTGATTATAATATATAGGCATAGCACTTATGTCCAGCACGTTTTCCCACAGTCTTGAGAACTGGAAAGTGTAATCAGTAAGGTATGATATTATGTAATCTTTTTTTTTTCATAGTTAGTCTTCTGGCTTTGGTTTCTGTTTGTCTCTATCTGTATGCCTACATGTTCTTTACACTCCCTGTTAGGTCCTACTTAGTTAACAGAGATGTACAGTATAGACTAACGTTGCAGTTTTTCTCCTCTCTTGTAGGCCTGTCAGCTAAATATCCACTTCCTAAAGGTAGCTCTTTCTGTTCTCTGCTTGCTCCCTCACCCCTGTGAACTCACCCTCTTTTTTTCCCTCTCTGATTTTTTTGTTTGTGGCTGTGGCCGCTACAGAGAAATCAGATTTACTAACAATGATGCAATCATTGATTTTTACAGGGTTGCTATGCATGCACAAACACAGTCAAATGAACTTGCACACACAGACATTCTGTTTTTCTGGCACTCTCTTTTATTACACATGTGCACACACACACACACACACACACACACACACACACACACACACACACACACACACACGCTTGCAATTGTTAGTAAAGAGGCAGCCCACCGATGCTAAAAGGAAGGTATATTACTGTATAATATACCATGTGCGTAAGTGGTCTGCAGCATGCTTTCTATAGAAATGATTCACTGCACTCAGATGTAGCATGCCTCCATGTGCATGCACAAGTAATGATGCACTACAATATTCCTGCCCTTTGTCCCACTCACAGTCCTATAATAAAAAAGAAGATCCTCTGTGTAATGAATACACAATAACTGCCACTGCATCTAATTCTGTATGCATGCTTATGGAAAGTGCACTTACATGAGAACAACACTAGAGGGCAGGACAAGTTTTCTGTTTGAGTCTTTTAAAGAGCAAGTGGTGTGAAGCCTTCTTTAAGAGACTTGTGTACTGTATACTACTATTCCTTGGATCTGATATACGTCATATATTTTTATCTGATGTAGTCATGTGACTAATGTCAATCACAGCTTTACTTGTGGATACAGTTCACTCACAGAATTACATTAGACTGCTTCAGTGACTGATTTTCCCTGGTCACAGTGGATCTGGAGTTCATCCCAGGAACACTGGGTATGGTGGGAATACTATTCCTATGGATGGAACACCACTCCACAGCATGGCACACACATTCACACCTACTGGCAACCTACTGGCGTTTTATGTTACCTGTCAGTGGTTAAAACCAAAAATGATACATTAAGGCAGCCACAAAGCCCTTCAGCTTCAAGCTTTAGCTACATAAATACAATACTTGCATAATTAGAATTAATAGCTAATTTTCTGTTCTTTATAAAGTATTAAGCTGCTACATTCTGTTAAAAAATGAAAGCCTTTTAAAAAACACATAAGGTATTGATACACTGTAAAAAAATTATTTACAAAAAATCAATATCTATGTTTTTACAATAAATATCTATATTTTAATTAAGTACTTTAAAATTTACTGTAAACAATAATAAAGAACGGCGTGCTGCTGGGAATTGAACACATGACCTTCTAAACTGTAACTCAAAGCCTTAACCACTAAGCCACCACTTCAGATGTTGAAGCCGCTGAATCAGCGTGTGCTAGCAGAGCTTGTTGTGGCGGCTCAGTGTTAAGGATCTGAATTACAGCTCAGAAGGTCATGTGTTCAAATCCCAGCACTACCAGGGTTGGGTCCTAGAGCAAGACCCTTCAGCTCCATTGCATCCTGTTACTTTATACTATGTAAGATATTACAGTACTTCACTGTAAATATATTTTACAGTTGTTTACTGTAAATTTTACAGCACTTTACTGGCAACTTAGGCTGCTTACAGCATTTCTTTTTACAGTGATGTACTCTTTATTTAAATCGAAAAGGCAAATACATTCATATTTATTATTTTGAAGATAGTTCCGGCTGCATACTTGAAAATTTAACTTGAGTAGTTTGGCATTCTGGAAATATATTGTTCACATATTGCATATTACGTTTCTTTCTGGGTGGGGATTAGTATGAGTAGTATGTATATTTCATAATACGGTTCTAGGGGAACATGTTATCTGAGACAGCGCACACCAATACTGCAACTTTATACAACCATTAAGGACATTATGACCTCAAGCTATGTTTTACATATACTGTAACAGAGCAAAGGTTGCATTTTATCCGTTTACACAGTCATTTTTTAAATTTGAACCAACTTGGTACTTGCATCCATTTCTGAGTGTTAAAACTGCTAGAAGCTCGCAGTGCATCATGGACATACACACTGTCCCTCAGCCACTGAGACAATATTAGAATAACACACACATATTCTGTTGGCTAATATTTTTTTAATGGCTCACCACTTTCACCAGCAATCACATTCTACAATAATACTAACTAGATTCAAGGCAGCGCAAGACTGCCTGATGATGCAGCTTTTTATTGTTTAGTTTGTCTATCTTTATCTATTCTCCAGGTTCAGTTACATAAAATTCCTGGTTGGTAAAGGTCCAGATAAGCAACTAACATGACCGAATGGTTACCTTCTAATATTTAACCATTAGTGATTAATTTACTGCTATAAATGAAGCAGTTTGAAGTGTTTTGGTTTAGTTTTACACTGGCGCTACATATTGTCGATTGTGAGTAGTGTCACAGACTCGGAACAGACAAAACATCTGTTTTAAACTTAAAGCAGAGAATAAACACTTCTTTGTCAATTCATATTTCACATTCTGTATTTGTCATCAAGTTGATTTTATTTATTCAGTTATATTGTTAGTTCACTAATCAGAACAGAGGGGTCTGTAAATGAAATTGAAAAAAAAACCATGAAAGTCTGTGAAAACAAGCCGCAAGAGGATCTGCTCCAGAAGCCGTTAATGGTTCATGTATAAAAACTTGGAGCCGATGAAGCACAACCAGGTTTTTGGGGTTTTTTGTTTTTTCATTTATTGATCAGTTTTGCTACAGTATTTTATGAGTGCTTGGTTTGATCTACTGAAATACTTTGCTGGGTCCACATCCTGACTACAGCCTGCCAGCTGATGAGCCCTGATACACTGTATAGGAATGACCAGATAAAATGAGAGAAAGAGAAAGATGTTGGAAAGCAGAGATGGAGAAACATAAAGAGAGTGTGTGTCATTCCACCAGTTTCACACTCCTTTGTTGGAATGCCATGTGAAGCTGCGAACAGGAAGAAGAAGAGAGAAGGGGAAAATTAATGAAAGAAATCTTGTGTTAGGAGATGGAGGGTGTAATTTGAGGCTCTGAAAGGTCCTTATTAACACTGTCAGGAGGAAGAGATAAAAAAACCACAGCCCTGGCCGAAAGCACAGTATGATACAACACCAATTGTATGATATCATATGAACTGTATTAAAGGGTTCTTCTCATTTCTTCATTGTGATTCCTTATTTCATTTTAGGGTCTCTGGAGGACTAGTGGTTAGGCTTCGGCGCTCTCACCGCCATGGCCTCGATTTGATTCCCGGCCAGGGAGCCAACCCCAGCCACTGGCGTTGCACGAGACAGGGCACTCCCAGTGCTGGTCCCAAGCCCGGATAAAATTTGGGGAGGGTTGAGTCAGGAAGGGCATTCAGCGTAAAAACTGTGTCAAATCAAATAATGCAGATCAAGGATCTGGCATGGCGACCCCAAATGGGAGCAGCCTGAAGGGGAAAAAATTCCTTATTTCATTTTCTTGCATCCCTTCTTCAAAATCATCCTCCCAGAGAATGCAGGAAGGACTATAAGAATAAGGCGTAATCAACTTCTGTATTTGACAATAGAGATGTTCTTTCTGAAGTTCCACTTTTAAGTGACATTATTTATTAATGACATGTTGTTCAGCTGTCACTGGCTATAACAACGAACAACAGAGTGTAATTACACACTGAATCAATCTAAATCACAGCAATACTGCACGTGTACTTTGCAGCATGCTTAAATGCTAATGTTCTGAAAACTCTCTATTGATTAAAAATCAATTTTACTATCAATTGTCATATGTTTTATGGACATTTAGTCATTTATTAATCAACTTCGAGCCATGTGTACTCATTTTAATAGGCCTGTACACCTGCTCATTCATGCAATTATCTAATCTAATTATCCAAATCAGCTAATCCTGGCAGTAGCACAATTCATAAAATTAAGAAGATTCATTTTAAGAGTTTCTGTTAATATTCACACAGACATTCAAATATCAGAATGGGAAAAAATGTGATCTCAGTGACGTTAACTGTGGCATGGTTGTTGGTGCCAGACAAGCTTGCCTGACTATTTCAGAAACTGCTGATCTCCTGGGATTTTCACACACAAGCATCTCTGCAGTTTACGCCGAATGGTGTGAAAAAAACAAAAAAACATCCAGGGAGCAGCAGTTGAGTTGTGGGTGGAGATTCCTTGCTGATGAGAGAGGTCAGAGTAGAATGGCCAGACTGGTTCAAGCTGAAAGGAAGGCTACAGTAAACTAAAATATTCAAATAACCACTCTTTACAGCTGTGGTGAGCAGGAAAGCATCTCAGAACGCACATCATGTCAGACCTTGAGGCAGATGGGCCACAAAAGCAGAAGACCACATCGGGTTCCACTCCTATCTGCCAGGAACAGAAATCTGAGGCTAGAGTGGACACAGGCTCACCAAAACCGGATAGTTTTTGACAGAGGATTGGAAAAAAAAAAAAAAAAACTTGTTTTGTAAAGCCAAGCAAGTTTTTATTGTTATCCTGTAATCCTGTATACAGTCGATTGAACCTACAGGATTATGTTGTAACATACAAGAACGCAAGAGCCTGGTAGACCCACTGCATAAAATGCAATTAGTGAAATAGTGTAGCAAGAAAAAACAGTTCTTAATTATTATTACTCTAGATGCCTGCTGTATTAATAAACGAGCAGCTGTTTGAGGTCCAGGTGCTCAATTTAGCTTCACATCTTGATGTGAGGTTCTACTACTCGCTTTACTCTGTGGAGTGAAGAGTTGTTGTTTTTTGTTTAGTCTTTGCCAGCCAAGATCTATTCTATGATTGGGTGGAGAGTGTTTGTGTGTATGCTCATTAAATTCTCTTGTTTTTATAGAAAGCAAAGCTGGGCCCAGGCAAGAAAGTGATCACACCGTCAGACCACCGGCGCTTCAGTTTTCCCTCCAGCAACATGGACAGGGTTCGACTCAACGATTTCCACTTCCTGGCACTTCTAGGAAAGGGTAGCTTTGGCAAGGTCAGCCATGATGCCCAAACCCGTATTTTAACACTCAGTCAGCTTTATTGGTGTAAATGTTGTAGATTTACTTGCAATCTGGGGTCGGTTAGGAGTAAGCAGATAAGATTATGCTAACTTCCTTACGTCATCTTAGTTAAGAATTAACTAATGAAACCTGGCATCTGTTAGCATAGAGGGGTGAAATCAACTTCCCTACCTCACCTTAACTGAGAATGAATCATTTAAAAATGGGGTTGGTTAGCAAAGAAAAAAATGAGATCATTCTAAATCCCCGTCTAGTTTTTAATGTATCTTAACTATGCTAGCATTGTATCATTTAGTGGTGTGACTGTACGTATACAGGTATGATGATGTATTATCCCCAAGTGTATATTTTAAATATGTAGTAGATTACTTTTCCAGAACAATCATACAAGAAATATTGAACTAATCTGGTAAAAAAAAAAAAAAAAAATTCAATTTAATTCAGTGTACTTGTACAGCTCCTATATGTATTATGTGTACAGTATGTTAACTGACTGAAAAAGGAAAGTTTTAAATAGGTATAGTGATTTTAGAATAGTACAATATAGAGATTATTTTCATGATTTTTTAATAATCCTTAGGATTACAGGTAATCAAGGTTGGTCCCTTGGTCAGCTCTCTATTTCTACACCTGATATCTTTTCTTAACAGTCTGATGGAGTCTGTGCTCTCCATGCAGGTAATGCTGGCGGAGATGAAGTCCACGGAGGAGCTGTATGCAATCAAGATCCTGAAGAAGGACGTTGTGATCCAGGACGATGATGTGGAGTGCACCATGGTTGAGAAGAGGGTGCTAGCACTGAGGGACAAGCCACCTTTCCTCACCCAACTCCACTCCTGCTTCCAGACAGTGGTGAGAGATGAAACCGAAGAAAGAGATAAAGGGAGATGGAGACATAGGAATAGAGAGAACTTGGATAAATATTGACATTTTTTGCTTTGAGATCAAAAGATGAATATGAGATGATAGACCGTAAAAAATTGGTTGGTCTGCCACCAAAGGTGCTATCTAGATGTAAGTATCAGGAATTGAAAGCTGAAATTCTGATCTGTTGTCTCATATTCATCGTTTGATCTCAATCCCAAATGTATAGCAAAAACAAAACAATTGGCTTTACCGTTCCAATACTTTCGGACGGGAGTGTGTTATGTAGCAGGTCTGTAAACAAATACAAATACATTATTTAAATTGAAGAGATTAACAAATATGAATACAGACACGAACAACAGACGTATTATAGGAGTACTCATTTGTCTGTTTGTTGTTTGTTTTTAATTTGTTTTTGAGAAATTTTCCCAGAAAGCTTCAGACTAGGTGTGTGCTTTGGGA